GATAAGTTTCTTACATTTACATTTTGAAAACGAACCCTGCTGCAGCCTAGTCGATGTGCTAACGCGGATGTTTTACATGTTTTAAATATATAAAATGCATAAATGGTCTTCATCATTTTATTTGTTATTAAATAAACTTACATTTCGCCGATTCGCCCTCTCATTTAAGTCCTGGGTTCACCCGTACTACTGCGTGCTCGTATCAGCACAGGATCAGCCGGCCGAAAGAAAGTTCTGTTTAGAGACGGTGCTATCACGCATGCGCAGTATCTCCAGCTCATCGGTTCTCCGTATCGAACGTGTCCGAAAGAAACAGTTCTCGGTTCTGCACTAGTGATTCAAGAGCTGCAACAACCAGTTATCGACTCGAGAACCATAGCATAGGCCTGTGCTGAGCTGAAACCTGAATATACAGTCGACAAAACTAAAAAATCGATGCATGTCTGTCTCCAATATAGCCTGTAGCCTATATACGTAACAGTATACATCATGTTTATAATGTGTTAACATAACGAATTAAACATATATGTTTAATTCGTTAAACATATATGTTTAATTCGTTATGTTAACACATAAACATTTACTAAGCAGTGCACCAAACCTTGGCAAGAGTTTACATCAAAGATTTATAATATTGTTACTTAGAAATTAAATGAGCTGTTCCTGAAAATATTATTTTAGTATAATAATAAATGTTTAGTAGTTTGACAGTTTTAGAATCCAATCATTATTTCCAATCGTTAAAATAATACAGTGATACAGTTATGGGATAAACATGTTTCCAAAATGTTTTATTTTGTTACACTTACTGATGTTCAACTAAAGACGTGGAAACGTACATTTCGTCCCTCAGAAAAAAAATGCACGCATGCTCAGCTCATCAACTCATCAGTTCTCGGTTCTGTACTGGTTATCCGACCGCTGTACCTGTATGTTCGGCAGTACACGCATGCGCAGTATCAGCTGCTCGTGCTCATCACTTCTCTCAGCACCAACATATGTCTCCGTTCAGTGAACTTTTTGAGTTACTGGAATAAAATGTACTTCTGGATATTGGTTTATTTCGATTCGGAGGGACTGTCAGGCATGTCTGAAAGTGAGTAACTTTAGTAACTTGTGGTTTAGCGCTGACGCAAGACGCGAACTGTTTCGAACGATTCAGTCCGATTTAGTGTACTGGTTCGACCGGTTCACTAAAAAGAACCGGTTCAAAAGAACGATTCGTTCACGAACCGGCCATCACTAATGGCCAGCTGTTTTGGCCATGTGCTTGTGTTGTCTCGTTTCTTTACTCCGCCCCCTTGTTATCCTCGTCTCGTCATTATTGTCTAGTCAGTCTCACCTGTCCTTGTCATTAGTGTCTCCCTATATTATTCCCCTTGTGTTTGCTGTCTTTTGTCGGTTCATTGTTAATCCATGCCAAGTTTGTGAGTACCTATCTAGAGTATTTGTCCTGTTATTCTATTGCTTGTGTCAGTCGTTTATCTAGTAGTATTTTGTCAGTACCTTGTCTAGTAAGTCTTTATAGTCCTTGTCAGAGTCTTGTTTTGCCCCCTCGTGGGCTTTGTTTTCCCCTTTTTTGTCTACAATAAACTATCTGTGATTGCATTCTGTCTGCGCCTGGGTTCATCCGCCATCCACATCATAACAGAATGAACCGACCAAAGCAGAACCCAGCAGACTGTTTGTCTTCACCTGGAGATCAGCAATTGGATCTTCTAGAAGATTGGTGGCTCAAGACCATTTCTGACTCGAGAGGGGGCAAGCTCCCAATTCCCCCTCAGGGTGAGCTGCTGTTGAAGGAGTACGCTGAAGTCGCTGAAAGGAGGAGGTTTTTCTTACCTGACATCCTCCTTAATCGCTACTTCATAGCTGGCCTCAACGTGTCCCCACCTCTGGCTGAACGAGAGAGACTGGTTCATCGCCCATTCCGGGACATGGTGGATTGTCTTGGTCTAGAGGAGCCGCAGGGTCCCTCCTTGTTGTCGCCACCAGCCAAGCTGCCTGTGATTCCGGAGGGTCGGGTCCTGGCTGTTGTTTCTCAAGGGGCACAGACCCATTCCACTTCTCCTGAGGTCGCATCTACTCCCGTTGATCTTCGTGGCAAACGAGGGAGACGTTCTTCGTGGGACTCTCCGTCGGAGTCATCCTCGACCGAATCGCCACTTCCTGAGACTGTCCTTCTGTCTCAGGTTACAGACCCCATTGAGCTTCTACAACCAGTCAAGGGTCCGTCTTTGATGTCCGTGCCACGGCCTAGGAAGAAGAAGAGGAGGAGGAGGGGGGCCTCTCGTCCTTCTTCTCCGCCTGTTCCAGAGCCCGCTCCCGCTGCTGTAAGCGCTGTCCCAGAGCCTGCTGCTGTAAGCGCTTTCCAAGAGCCCGCTCCCGCTGCTAGCGCTGTCCCAGAGCCCGCTGCTGTAGGCGCTGTCCCAGAGCCCGCTGCTGTAGGCGCTGTCCCAGAGCCTGCTGCTGTAGGCGCTGTCCCAGAGCCCGCTGCTGTAAGCGCTGTCCCAGAGCCCGCTGCTGTAGGCGCTGTCCCAGAGCCCGCTGCTGTAAGCGCTGTCCCAGAACCAGCTGCTGAAGACACAGTTACCAAGCCTGCTGTCGTGAGCGCCGCTGAGAGGGCTGCGGCTGATTCGGCTGCTGAGGCTGTTTTGCGGTCAGTGTCAGCAGGTCAGGAGTTGCCTATCGCCGTTGCGGCAAGAACTTTGTCTGAGTATCTGTCGAGTCTAGCCAAGATCCTGGAAGTTCCAGCCAGGACTGGCATGTTGTCTTGTCCCGAGTCCACAGCTGCCGTGAGCGCCGACCCCCAGTCAACTGCCGTGAGCGCCGACCCCCAGTCAACTGCCGTGAGCGCCGACCCCAGTCAACTGCCGTGAGCGCCGACCCCCAGTCAACTGCCGTGAGCGCCGACCCCCAGTCAACTGCCGTGAGCGCCGACCCCCAGTCAACTGCCGTGAGCGCCGACCCCCAGTCAACTGCCGTGAGCGCCGACCCCCAGTCAGCATCTGACGACGATCTCTCCGATTCAGAGATGTGGAGCGTTGGTACTGTGCCGTCTTCGGGGAGCTCAGTTCGGGCTTCTGCTCCACAGTTACCTGCAGCATCCCTTGTTTTGTCTCCTGTTGTGTTGCCTCCAGTGTCCCCTTTCAAGAGTCCTGTCCCATCGCTCGTTTCTGTCCCTGTGGGGGGTTCCCCCCCTGTCAAGCTACCTAGTGTTTCCCCTAGCGCTCCTGTCATGTGCAAGCCTCAGACTGTTTCCCCCAAGAGATCTCCTCAAGCGTCCACAGCAAAGTCCTCCCGGATTCCCCGTCCTCAGCCCTCGTCCCAAAGACCCAAGACCCCCAGTCCTCCCATCCACCCTGAACTGCCCCCCAAGGACATTGTGTTTCCCCCACCACCTCTGCCTTGTATGTTGTTTCTAATGTTTCACCCCAACCCGGTTGTTGTTTATTCATGTATCCCTTTAGTTATGTTTGCTATGTTTTGTTGGTTTTTGTCCATGTCTCGTTCTGTCTTGTCCCGTGCTTAGTGTCCCTTTGAGGAGCGTCTGGTAGCCGCTCCTTAAGGTGGGGGTTCTGTCATGATTCTGCCATCATGTCCATGGTTTCTCCTAGTATAGTGGCAGGATCATGACAGACCCATGTTTTGTGTGCAAGCGCATGGCCAGCTGTTTTGGCCATGTGCTTGTGTTGTCTCGTTTCTTTACTCCGCCCCCTTGTTATCCTCGTCTCGTCATTATTGTCTAGTCAGTCTCACCTGTCCTTGTCATTAGTGTCTCCCTATATTATTCCCCTTGTGTTTGCTGTCTTTTGTCGGTTCATTGTTAATCCATGCCAAGTTTGTGAGTACCTATCTAGAGTATTTGTCCTGTTATTCTATTGCTTGTGTCAGTCGTTTATCTAGTAGTATTTTGTCAGTACCTTGTCTAGTAAGTCTTTATAGTCCTTGTCAGAGTCTTGTTTTGCCCCCTCGTGGGCTTTGTTTTCCCCTTTTTTGTCTACAATAAACTATCTGTGATTGCATTCTGTCTGCGCCTGGGTTCATCCGCCATCCACATCATAACACCACTTGTATCATTATCTTCAATTTACATTTAAGACAGAGTTTCAGCTCCACGCTGAGAAAGAAGACGAATTTGTTAGTTTTAATTTACATTTAAGAGAGAGATTCATTTACATGTTGAGGGGGAAGACGGATGCAATGTCGTATAAAATGTTTGCGCTGAGATGAGTTCGGGATTCTGTTTGACTCCGCTGAATCCGAAGTACTGTTTGTATTTTGTTCCTGTTTCTCTGTAATAAACATTCAATTTTTGAGATCTTCGACGTCCACTTCATTTTTTCTTACACTGGTAAAAACCATGGTTTTGATAACATGGTTTTACTACAGTAAAATTGTAGTAATACTTCAGTAAAACCATAGTAACCATGACTGTAGTAACTGGTATTTTTAAAAACCATGGTTTTGATACCATGGTTGTACTACAGTAATATTGTAGTAAAGCTATAGTAAAACTGCAGTTTTACTAAATTATCTTGAATTACATTTAATCCATTCAATTACAACAAACACCTACAAAATAACAACAGAAATAAGTTATCATTCTATGATACAGACTTTATTACAAGAATTAAATAATCTGAAAGAAACTTGCATTTGTTCTCACATGTGACATAAAACAATAATTTGACTACAAATTTATAAAACATTGGTGATAAAAGTGGTGCTGTACAATGGTAAAAAAATTCAGTTTCTAATTTACAAATTAAAAAAATAGCAATTTGTTCCACTGTAATAATGATTTATATACAAAAATAAGATAGTACAAATAAACATGACTTAGAACACCTTTAAATACACAGCATCTACCTCCTCTAAAATGTCTATAATCTGTGAACCACACCTGTCCAACACAAGGGTGTTTGCAATTTATACTGTACATTCATTAACAGGATTACAGCAATATTACTTGACAAGAACAATAAATACTATAAATTCAGAAGAAATTGAGCAGTACTTTTAAGAATGTTTTAAATGATATCCACTCACAAGAGATGAAGACATGGAGGGATGGGGGATGACTAATCCACACTTTAAATTCTAGGTGAAAAAGGTTTTGTTGAAAAACATGTGATGCCGCATCCACGCCAGTAGTTGTCAGTATGAAGTCTCTCATATGACAGTAGGTTACAGTCCAGCTGTGGGTTGGTTCTGTCTCGACCTTCAGCCCAAATGGACGCAGGAGCTAAAATGAGAAGAATACACACCACATTAACATATACAATACATTTTGGTCCAAAAATAACAAAAACTATGACTTTATTCAGCATTATATTGTCTTCCGGTTCTGTTGTCAATCCGTGTTTAGTGCCGCTGCTGACGTAAGACGCTGCTGACGTGTGTGTGGTACACCCGAGCTTAGGGTGTATTCACACCAGGAAAGTCCGATAGTTCACTTGCTTTAGTCCGGACCAAATAAAAATTTTTTTTTTTTTTTTTTGGTACGGTTCGCTTTCACACTGCTCTTTTTGCAAGTGAACCAAAATTTGTAAACAAAACCACACGTGTGCTAAGGTCGTCTATTCATTGGATAAGGATTCTCAAGTAGGGAAATCAGGAAGTGCAAAAAAGGCTCAGCATGGAGATATTTCCTACTGCAATATTTGTTCTTTTACTAATTTTGTGTTATTCTGTACAAACGCAATATGAAGAAACTAATGAGTATCTTATGATACAATGTCATCTATACGATGTTGTAATTTGGATTTTGAGAAGACGACGAGTGTAAAGTTTGAGTGGTTCTATTAAACACGGGGAAATACGACAAAGTTCTCGTCTCTCGTGCATCTTTTCATGCGACCACCTTCTGTTTTTTTTTTTCTCTGGGCAACATCTCAACTTTGCGTTACAAGTGGCACTGTGCAGAAGATGGATAAGGTATAAAGTTTTCATTCATAGAAAGGGGTTATGTTCACACGTGACATTCAAATAATGAGATTCTTATTGTATACTGCCAACAAGTGCTGTCAATGTTAACGGTTGCGATTAAGTTTGTCCAGTTTAGCGTAAATTAACGCAGTATCGTCCTTGTATAACTATCCTTACATTATGAACTGCAAATGCTTTTTTTTTTTGCATCTATGCGCGATTAGACTAAAGAGAACGCTCTGTATGTGAATGTCCTGATGCACACACCCATTCATTCATTCCATTCCAATGACGCACACACGACGCGCAGAAAGACGTGCAACAGTATCGTGTGGCCAGACAGCACGCCGTAATATTCTCTTTCGATGCAGACAGTGCTTTCTTGCAATTGGGTCAGTTCATGTTCACATCGTAAACGAACCGTACCAGAGTTCGTTTGGAACCGTACCGAGACCACCTCTTCAGCTGGGTCTCGGTTCGGTTGTTTGGTCCGCACCCGAGTTCGATTGCTGTATTCACACCTGCCCAAAATTCCGCACCAAGGGGGGAAACGAACTAGAGTTCGATTCAATCGAACCAAACAAGGCAGGTGTGAATACACCCTTAGTTTACAGTCTGGGGGAGACGCACACTGTAAACAAAACAATCTTCGTTCTAAGGATGTCTAAGGATTTCGACACAGAGGAAGACTTGCATTTATCTTGCCCAGCCATATTTATTTGAACCCGAATAAATATTCACATGAATGCGGCTTGACAACAGAACCCCAGGGCCGTTTAATGTTTACCCATCCTTACATATGGGTGAGTTCATATAGATGAAGGCCTGTTGTGTTCTGTCTCTTGGTTTGTGATAGTGGCAGCTTTTGTGAAACTCACCTTCATCATGTACTGAGTGTGGATGTCATCAAGATCTTGTCCTGAAGAATCACAGGGCCAAACGACTATATCTCATCTGGTAACAAGAGCATAGCCATAACTTTAAGATCCCCTAAATTTAAGATCCCCTGAATTAAAGCGATAGTTCACTTTGAAATTAGTTTTTGGTATGTTTTAGCTTACCTCAAGGGCATCCAAGATGTAGGTGTCTTTGTTTCCACAGTATTTTAAATTTTGACATTTTTCGTTCAAACCGTTCTTGTCTGTCAGTCATATAATGCAGGTCTATGGTCACCACCTCAAAGAGCATGCACAGAGAAGTCCAAATTAAACATGATTTAATGACTTGTAAATGTAAGTACACATTGATGGCCTAAGACATGAAACGAGCGGTTTGTGTGAGAAAAGGAACAGTATTTATATAGTTTTACCTTGTGCAATCACAGCCATGTCCAAGTGATCTGAATCAGTTGAGCAATGTCCAACTGAACCGAACTGAACCATGTCCAACGTTCCGCCGGAAGTGTCTTGCGCATGTACGTCACTCATTGTTTACACAGAGATTTCGGATGTTTTACCTTTCACTGTGAAGATCTAAACATATTTAGATATACATGAAATCGCAATGGAAGACGATTTCGGTATATCTAAATATGTTTAGTGAAAGGTAAAACTTCCGGAATCTCTGTGTAAACAATGAGTGACGTCGACTCGCAGGCGATCACTTCCAGTGGAACGTTGGACATGGTTCAGTTCGGTTCAGTTGGACATTGGATAACTGGTTTCGTGCCTTAGGCCATCAGTGTGTAATTTACGAGTCATTCAATCATGTTTAAGTTGGACTTCTCTGTGCATGCTCTTTGAGGTGGTGACCATAGACCTGCATTATATGACTGACAGACAAGAACGGTTTGACCGAAAAATGTCAAAATTTAAAATACTGTGGAAACAAAGACACCTACATCTTGGATGCCCTTGAGGTAAGCTAAAACATATCAAAAATTAATTTCAAAGTGAACTATCCCTTTAAAGAATTTCAGTATTTATCAGTAAAAAATACATAAAATAAATAAATATCTTTGCATTGAACAGTATGGTGTCTGTCTCATTGGCCAACATAATTAAAAACACACCTAGAGAAATAAAATAAAATATACCAATGACCATGATATGCTGTTATCATAATAATTAAATTAATTATTATAACTATGACCATAACATTTGCCGCCGATAATTTATCCAACAAGTTTCTCAAGAACAGTCTCACTGAAAAAAAATGTAAAGTGTGAGACTTCATTCAAAAGCATAAATCCGACAGACCCCAACTTTTGAACAGTATGTTCAAAACTTTTGAACAGTATGCTCACTTTTAAGGTTTTGCTTACTAGTCGAGTTCATAGCTGTGGAGATTGTCTTGGACAGGGGGTGCAGCAGGACTTCATGATGATCTTCTGGACTAGAACATGCAATGTGTCACAGAGCCAACAATGTTAAGGGGCTTATGGATGCAGCAAATTCATCACAGATCAATGACTTCATCGCTCACAGTATCGCACGGATGGATCAACAGGAGGAGAGTATCTCTGGCACAGGTCGTGCGGTGCAAGCACTCGTGAAGCAGGTGTCCGAGCTCACCCAACAGGTACAGCTTTTACGGACTCCCACTGCGCCCCCCACGCCGCCCGTCCTCCCACCACCAGCGCCTGCAGCAGCGGGGAGATCAGAGCCACGCCTACCCACACCTGAGGGATATTCCGGTGAGCCTGAGTTTTGTAGAGCATTCCTCACTAGATGTTCTATGCACTTTGCCTTACAGCCACACACTTTCCAGAGCGAAGAGGCGAAGGTGGCATTTGTGTTAACCCTGCTGTCAGGAAGAGCATCGCTTTGGGGGACGGCGGTGTGGGAGAACAAGGACGACTGCTGCACCTCGTTCCAGGCACTCTCCGAGGAGATGAAGAGAGTTTTCGACCGTGCAGTGGCGGGTAAGGAGGCGGCCAGATTACTCGCCGAGCTGCGACAAGGAGAAGGCTCGGTGGCGGACTTTTCCATCCGGTTCCGCACCCTGGCGCAGTGGGATATGTTCCTGCATGGGTTGGCTGACCGCGTTCAAAGAGAGATCTATGCTATGGATTTACCTGAGACACTGAATGGACTGGTGGAACTTGCGCTGAGAGTGGACGCTCGACTGAATCGTGTAACCAGACTGACGCGCCCCAGCCACCCAGTGTTCGGCGCAGAGGACCACCAACCCGGTGGTGAGAGCGCGGTCAGCCCCACAAATGACCACGAACCCATGCAGGTGGGGAGAGCTCGGCTTTCCCGGGAGGAGAGGGAGAGGCGGAGATCCCAAGGACTCTGTCTCTACTGTGGCCAGGCGGGCCACTTCATCCACTCCTGCCCGGTAAAAGAGCAAGCCCGGTAGTAAGTATGAGGCTACTATCGGGTGGGATCTCCGCCGAGAAGACCTCATCAACATCAACCCTCCTCCCGGTAAGTCTGAGATGGCGACAATCAACACACTGCACCAGCGCACTTCTGGATTCGGGAGCGGAAGGTAATTTCATGGACTTCAGACTAGCACATAGACTTCAGATCCCCGTCACACCCCTCTCGCACCCGATTATCGTCAACGCACTCAATGGTCAAGAACTTCCCCGCATCACTCACGTTACTGAAGACATTACCCTCATCACTTCCAGAAATCACACTGAACTCATTTCATTTTTTCTCATGGACTCACCACTTGCACCAGTGGTTTTGGGTCACCCGTGGCTTTCCAGACACAACCCCGGGTCGACTGGTGCACTAACACTGTTTCCACATGGAGTAACCACTGTCATGAGTCCTGTTTAGTGTCTGCCTGTCCATCTGTGTCTGGTTCTGTGTTTCAGAGTGAGGTAGCGGATTTATCTAACGTGCTCGCGGAGTACCACGACCTGAAGGAGGTGTTCAGTAAGTCTCGCGCTGCTTCTCTTCCTCCGCATCGTTCCTATGACTGTGCGATAGAGCTACTGCCAGGTAAATCTCCGCCTAAAGGCAAACTTTACTCTCTTTCTATTCCCGAGAGGGAGGCCATGGAGAAATATATTTCTGATTCTCTGGCCTCTGGGTTCATCCAGCCTTCCTCTTCTCCTGCGGGGGCAGGGTTCTTTTTCGTTGGGAAGAAGGATGGTTCTCTGCGACCTTGCATTGATTACCGAGGGCTGAACAACATCACGGTAAAGAATTCATACCCTTTGCCGTTGATGTCTTCAGCTTTCGAGAGGTTGCAGGGAGCATCTATTTTCACGAAACTGGACTTACGTAATGCATATCATTTGGTCCGCATCAGGAAGGGGGATGAATGGAAAACCGCTTTTAATACCCCTAGGGGGCACTTTGAATATTTGGTCATGCCTTTCGGTCTGTCCAACTCCCCAGCGGTTTTCCAGGCACTCGTTAATAACGTGTTGAGAGACATGGTAGACCAGTTCATATATGTTTACCTGGATGACATATTGATTTTTTCTTCGTCTCTCCAGGAACACGTGCAACACGTCAGGCGAGTGCTCCAGAGACTGTTGGAGAATGGGCTTTTTGTCAAGGCGGAGAAATGTTCGTTTCATGCACAGTCTGTTCCCTTCCTAGGGTACATCATCTCTTCTGAGGGACTGCGCGTGGATCCTGACAAGGTTAAGGCTGTGGTAGATTGGCCAAGTCCAGATTCCCGTAAGGCCCTACAGCAGTTTCTGGGGTTCGCCAATTTTCACCGACGTTTCATTCGTAACTTCAGCCAACTAGTCGCGCCTCTGACTGCCTTGACCTCCCCCCGAACGACGTTCAGGTGGTCAAACACTGCTGAGGCAGTGTTCACCAACCTCAAAAGTCGCTTTGTTTCGGCTCCCATTCTTGTCACCCCTGATCCCACACGTCAGTTCGTGGTGGAGGTCGACGCGTCAGAGGTGGGAGTAGGAGCAGTACTTTCACAGCGCGCTTCCTCAGACGACAAGTTGCATCCCTGCGCGTTTTTTTCTCATCGACTATCGCCTGCCGAACGTAATTATGACATTGGTAATAGAGAGTTGTTGGCAGTTAAGTTAGCGTTGGATGAATGGCGTCATTGGTTAGAGGGTTCGGGGGTACCCTTTATCGTTTGGACCGACCATAAGAATCTTGAATACATCAGATCTGCTAAAAGACTCAACTCCAGGCAGGCTCGGTGGGCTCTTTTTTTCGGACGTTTTGATTTTGTTCTCTCGTACCGCCCCGGGTCCAAAAACATCAAACCCGACTCTTCATCTCGTATTTTTGATCCATCCGCCCGGTTGCCCACCGAGTCGATTGTTTGTTCCGGAGGGGTTACGGTCCGACGTTATTCGGTGGGGTCATTGCTCCAACGTGGCTTGTCATCCAGGAGTGACTCGCACCAGTTTTCTAGTTAAACAACGATTTTGGTGGCCACTGATGGCTCGCGACATTCACGATTTTGTGTTGGCTTGCTCAGTCTGTGCCACTAGTAAGACATCTAACCAACCCCCAGATGGGTTACTTCGACCACTGCCTGTCGCTTCGAGACCCTGGTCCCACATCGCTCTAGATTTTATCACCGCCCTCCCGCCCTCCAATGGCATGACGGTTGTTTTAACCGTAGTGGACCGGTTCTCGAAGGCGGCTCATTTCATCCCCTTGCCCAAATTACCTTCAGCCAAGGAGACAGCGGTTACTGTCATAGATCACGTTTTTCGGTTACATGGCCTCCCGATGGACGTGGTCTCTGACAGGGGTTCCCAATTCATATCCAAATTTTGGCAAGAATTTTGTAAGTTACTGGGGGCCACGGTCATTCTGTCCTCGGGCTATCATCCCCAGAGTAATGGACAATCTGAGCGAGCCAATCAAGACCTCGAAAGAATGTTGCGATGTTTGGTTGCCAAGAATCCGTCGTCCTGGAGCCAACAACTTTCTATGGTGGAGTACGCCCACAATTCTTTACCAGTGTCATCCACGGGCCTCTCGCCATTTAAGTGTAGTTTAGGTTACCAGCCACCAATTTTTCCGAGTCTGGAATCCGAAGTCGCGGTCCCCTCCGCTCACGCATTCGTCCAGAGGTGCCACCGTACTTGGACTAGAGCCCGTGAGACTCTACTCCAAGCAGGGAGGCGCATGAAGGCCAAGGCCGATCGCCACCGGTCAAAGCCTCCCGTCTACGTCGTGGGTCAAAAAGTGTGGCTTTCTACCAAG